CTTGAAACTAGACTACTTTCTGTTCAACACACACTGCTTATCCTTTCCCACCTCCACGCCTCATCTCATGCCATTCACTAGTCCTGGGATGTCTTCCCCCAAAACTGCACCTGTCAATGACCCCCCATGTCATTCAAGATCCAGTTCAAATTCCAATTCAGTCTGAATTGATCCTTCTTCATTTGGAACAACTCATAGTAGTCAAGGTAGTACTTTGTACTTCTTACATGTACTTTTCAGATACTTTAAAAAAAATATTAGGAGCACCACGGCATAGGGTCAAGAATGGATGGGTTCATATTCTGAGATAGATCTTTTCTAGTTGGGCAGCCTTGGGCAGATTACTTAGCTGATTTGTGCCTTGGTTTTCCTATCTATAGAATGGATGTTGGAATTGATAGCATTATATCCCCTTCTAGATTTAACTTGGTGATCCTATAATTATGGTTAATTGGGTATTCGTTATCTATTTTATACTTGAGTGTAAACTCATTGAGCTCAGGGGCAGTTTCTTATTTGTTTTTGTGTCTCCTTTTGTACCTACTATAGTGTTCTAGACATAGTGGGTGTCTAATAGATATTTGTTGAATTAAATTTAGCTCTGAAGCCAGAGGTTAATTTTCATTTTAGCCAGGCACTTGAAAGGCTGAAGAAGTCAACAACAGTGCCTACTATGTGTATGTACTGTAGTAAGTGCTGGCAAAAAACAAACAAATATGTCCCTGCTTTCAAAGTACCTGCTCATAGTCATAAGACAGAGGGGGAAGGCAATGTGAAAAATAAGTACGTACAAATGATATAAACAGGATAAAATGGAGATAATCATAGTGGGTAGGCACTAGCATTAAGGGGGATCAGGAAAGACTTCTAGTTGAAGATGAGATTTTAGCTGGGAGTTGAAGGAAGTCAAGGAAGACAGAACAATGGAAATAAGGAAGGAGAGAATTCCAAGCTAGTGAAAGTAGGGTATCTCATTTGAAGAACAACAGAGACCAGTATCACAGGACTGTAAGTGGATAGGTGTAAGGTGTAAGAAGACTGGAAAAGAGGAAACAGCCAGGTCATGGAGGGCTTTAAAGGCCAGAGGAATTTATATTTGACCATGGAGGTAATAGAGAGTCACTGAAGTTGATTGAGTAGGTACACTTGTGCTTTAGGAAGATCAATTTGGCAGCTGAGTGGAGTTGCCTTAGCCATTGTGTGTTCAGGTAAAGTGACTTCTTAGCTGGCACATTTTAAACTTGGTACTCTGAATACTTAGAATATATTAATTTTCCTTATGAGGCAGGCTTGATCACATAATGCCATATTTGGGATACTGTGTTTCTAAACTGGCAAGCTGTCTTCTGTTCTGCATTTGCTCTGTAGGAGCTCCTGTCGATAGGAATTCACCCTCTCTCTGGAATGACCATGATGTTGCTTGGGGATAATGATACTATTTCCTTCTTCCTCCAACTGCAGTCATTTCTGTCCTCATGATTCATTTTGGCTTTTGTTAGTGGTAGACAACATAGCACATTCACCATAACATTTTAGCCTGCTCTGGAGCCATTGATTTTAGGGAGCCAATGCAACTCCTTACTTAGAAAATCTTTTCATTTCCTAAGTTATCAATGGGGTTGTTCCAGTTAGGTTATTAAATATTTAGGCACAGTCTATAGGCAGTTTAATTTGAAATAAAAAACCTATCAAGTATATAGCCTATGTCTCTGTACAGTATTGCATAACCCAGCACTGTCTCAAGAAACTGGATAGTTTATGATGAGGGAAGTGTTCTTGCAACAGCCAAATAAACTGTCACATATCTTGGGATGCAGAGCCAGATCCATTTTTACTGAGTTAACTTTAAGGTTTCCAAGGACATCGTCCCATTTGGGATTTTAAAAGTTCTGCAAATTTAAATGCAAAACATAGTTCTAGATGTCTATTTTTTTCCCCTAGCCTTTTTATTTTAACCTGAGAAATCCATTTCATTTCTAGGTTCAGTTCAAAGCATCCCACATCACTTCAAATCTGTCTTTTCTCATTCAGACACAGGGAAATCAGTGTTTTCTTGGTGGGCCCTTGCCATTTGGTTGATTTCTACTTCACTATTGTGGTCCTGATGGTGCTGTCCTAGTGATGAATTTCTGGGTATGCATTTCCCCCCCTTTGCTCTCAGAAACATGTTGTGATAATTAAATAGTTCATTTGCTAACATCCTAATTTGAAGAGTCTAACACCTGCAAGACAGAAACTATGAGTATCTCTTCAGGAGTCAGGAGAGCTGAACTCAGCAATTTCCCACATGTGGATGTTACCGGTATTCTAATTCCTTGCTATAGCCTTTCAGCTGAGAACAACTGTCGAGCTTTTTCATTTCCCTACTAAATCAGGGAGCCAACACTGCAGACTACACAGAAGCTTCCTATAAAGTTTTTCATTGATTTAAAAATAGAGAAAGAGAGCTCTTTTTTTTAAAGCCCTCTTGTTCTTTTCAGCAATCTCTTGTAATTTCTGTTCACCAGTATCTTAGCTCTTAAGTGACTGTTTTTATTTAGTTTCCCCTTGCCTTTCATTTTCCTCTAAAATGAATCAAAAGCATTTTTATTGAAAAATTATTTGGAATATTTTACCATTAGGTTGCCAATGCTTTGCTACTTTGAAAAGCAAATTTTGGCTGAAACCTCTGCTTGCTTTTGCTCTAAAAGGTCTGTGTGTGTATGAGGTGGGGGGTGGGGATGGGGAAGGAGGAGTCTGTGCTTAAACAAAAAAGAGATGATTAGGCTCTATCTGCACTGGTAGCCTGGTGACTTGAAAGTTAATGTATCTCTATAAATGTCAGAAAGTACCAGAGAATAACTTAGACACTGGGGAAAATCTGGCTCAATATTTTCAAGAAGACAATGTGTGAGTTTACAGAAGGTTTGCTCCCCATCCCTGTTTCCAAATAATAAAAGAGAGTGAGATAATTATGTAACATGAATCAGACCACTCAATAGAAAGATTAAAGTGATGCAAACCAAAGCTGGCTCATAGCAAATGTGAACATTTTCAAACGAAATTCAGTTATTCAGCTAATTTAAAATACCATTGAAGTGAGATGAATCTTTTTAAATATTTTATCACTGAGTTGTTATAATGTTCCTTCTACAGATATTACTACATCACCATCTAATTACTGATAAAATATACCAGAATTAAAAAAACCCAACAACCCAGAAATCTTGCCATATACAAACTTGGGTTAATTTGTGAGATAACATCATGCTACTTGAGAAAATTTTCTAAAACCTCTGTGTCTGAAGAGAAGATATAACTTCAAAAGCTGAGATTTCTTAGTGTTTTGTGTTCAATTACATTAAATGGAATCTAGTCTAGAATCTTTGAACAATATAGTTGATCAGTAAAGTTCTTTCTATTTTTTTTAACATTTCTATTTGCTGTGCTTTATCATAGTTTCCAAACTATGAAACTCTACCACTTTTTTCTTTCTTTCTTTCTTTTTTTTTTTTTTTTAACACTGACTACATGTGAAAAATTAACTCTGGTTATATTATTTCAAACTATTCCTTTAATTAGCAACAGTTGTGTTGTACTGTCAAGGAGAATTTAAGAAATTTAAGGACCCAATTTGGGAAGCAGGCACATCTGTTTTACTTTGCAATTTAAACATTTCATTATTGTTTTATTTCGCTGTATATGAATTCACAACTATCCTCTAACTGAAAACTAAAGAAAAAACACATGTTGGTAAATCTGATTTCTGCATATTTTTTCTTTCAAGGGAAGTCTCCTCCCTCAGCTGTCTGCCAATAAGTAATAAATGCATTTGGCAAAAAGTTTATTTAAGTTGGCTTTATTAAGCTAACAAAATGCAAAAATCAAGCAAGGGACAGGCAGAAAATGTGTTCCTTTGAAGTCAGTAAAATCCATCTCCTTAATCCTTTATTTAAAAAAAAAAGTCCTGACAATGGTAATTTTTCTTGACTGATTTACTGAGGACTTCGAGTTAAGCAATTTGAATTGTATAGGTATCTTTCCTCTTCAAAGCCCTTCCTATAATATTAACAACAATGACAAAAAACGACAACAACACTACATAGAGATGTGGTTCTTTCCTCGCTAGTTTCATGACAAACGTTCTTCCTATGGGCAAGTGTTCACGTTTCTTTATGAATGTTGTCTATAGCTAACTTAGGTAGCTCCACCAACATTGATTCAGCTTTGTAAAATAGGCTTTTTATTTCTATCTACTTCTCAGAGAGGCAGCATGGTGGACTAGATATTGGTCTGGCCTTGGAGTCAAGACTTGCTGCTGACACGTTAACTGTGGGACGCAGGGCAGCCACTTAACTTCTCTTTGCCTCAGGCAACTCTCTAAATTACATTTGAGTTACCAATTTAATCTGCAGAAAAGAAGGGAGTTGCCATACTGGGAGTTTTCTATGTCAGTAACAATGTCATATTTTGCCCCTGTCCCCGGCTCTTCCTTCCCCAAACCACAGATATACTTGGATCCAAACCGAAAGCAGAGTGCTGAAAAGGTGGTCATAGAAACCCTTCCTCTGACGGAGGGGTACTGAAACTCATGACTGCAGACCGTGCTTCTTTTTCTTAGAGACTTTCACCTATACCCCTCAATGATCTTAATGAGTACTATTTTTACTTGTGGAAAAAACAATCCAGGACTCTATCCTAATATCCCTTTATCCATACCCTGACAATATATCCACTGAAGCTTATGGAATTGTAAACTCCGGGAGGACAGGGACTTTCGGTTTTGTCTTTATATCCCCCGATCCTTACATAATACCTTGCATATGGTAAGTGCTTAGTATCTGTTGAATTGAATTGATACCCAAGGTGATTATTGATCACATATAAATATTGTTGTAAATCAGCATTTGAAGAATCAAAGGAAAAACTTTTTTTAAAGTATAGTAATCTCTTCCCCCAAGCTCCAAAACCAGGAAAACACTGCGCATCCAGTTCAAAATACACGTAATGAGATTCCTTACCTAAACTAAAGAGCACTAAGAATTTCAGACACACAAACTCTCGTAGATCAAACTGCAGAGAACGAAGCTTGGCCACTAGTTCCTGGGCATGGCTCATCAGGTTGTTGAGGGTGGCTCCAGCTTGAGATGCAATTACAGAATAATCCACCTGCAAAAAAGAACCACATTGGAATGTTACAAGAACCAGAAAGGGACAAACCAAAAGCCAAAGAATACAAACAATTTCAGCAAATGGAAGCAATAATGGCAATGTTTTTCCATAGAATGAGTTTGATTCTACGGACTGTAATGCATTGTATCCCACCCCTCCAAAGTATCTCTTTTATTCTAGAAATGGAAGGCAATTTTATATATAGACATATGTCTACAGAGACATATATCTCTATATACATATAGATGCATATTTATACATATAGAGATATAGATGTGTCTACATAGACACATCTACATACACACATAGATATTTGTATATATCTATACATATAGAGATAAAGATATGTGTCCATATAGACATCAATCTACTTAGATATATATCTATATATATTTGTACTATCCATCTAAAATGCTTAGCAACTATGGTTAAATATCACTGTCACACAGGGAGAGAAAATATTTTTAATGTAATTTGTTTGGGAAGTACCATGTTTATTAGGAAAAAAAGAACAAACCTCACAAAATTGAGCAAAACTACCAAAGTGATATTTTTTTCAGGGTGATGTTTTTGTAGTTTTCTCCCAAGAGAGTAATAACCTCACTTTTAAGAAATGTTTTTCTGTGCCTTGAAAAAGCTTCCATGATTCATTAGAAAAGAAAAAAATCTGTCAGGCACCAATTTTATATTATTCATGGGAACATTGGAGCTTCAATTTATAATAATAAGTTAAGATGTTTGGATGGATGTCAAGAACAGTATTGGCCTTACTGCTCGATTATACCATAATGGGAAAGCCCAGTTGGTACCTGAATCTCCCATCCTCCTCCTCTTGGAGAGCTCTCAGGCAACGGGCTACTCTTTCAGGTGCATTTAATATTTGCAGCAGCAGCAAATTTGTCTGGGAGGCAAGTCCTCATCTGCCACTCACCAAGAGCAGACTGTATTAAATTTTTATATTTATTGACATTTCATTACCATAATTGACTGCTCTTGGTTCTCTTGTAGAAGGCACAGGGCTGCCTCCTAAGCAGGAGAACTGTTCCCTTGAGTAGGATTTGCAATTAAAAATAAGGCAGAATGGATTTTTTTTTATTGTGTAAATATGATGAGTTGAATTTTCAGCTTTAACTAGAGAATACCAAATGTACAAGAAACCTTTTTCAAGAGTGAGAAAAATTATGAGTCAGTGGAAAGACGACCCCCAAAGGTGTCAATCAGTTTATATAAAGTCAACTGTGCATGAAAAAGCCTTAGTTAATGTCTACTCTGTCAAGGCTTTCCCATTAAGCATGTTGCTGTCCTTTCTACTTTCTACTTGTTGGTGGGCTGATAGTTGTCCCTACAATTCAAATCTTTAAAGCCCTCAGAGATGATATAACCTTTATTTCAGAATATGGGACTGGAAAAGGGTCATAACACTTGCGACTTGGGTACCAAGCTGGAAACAGGGCTGGCAAGTGGCCAGGGTGTGATGTGTGGTGTTATTATTGTTGTTGTCATTATGATTATTCCAGTGCTTGGGCTCCACCAATCAGGAAGGCCGGTTCTCTGCCTGTCCTTAAACAGCAGTTAGGGAGCGGCTCATGACAGTTCATACCCAGGTGAACCTTGTACTAATGTGGGGGTCAGGGGAAGCCCTAGTCATGTCTGTACTCTGACTGGGCTTTAAATTCTATTACAAAAGTACATAGGCCAACTTGTTCTGCATAAAGAGAGACCAGAGCATAAGAGATTTCCCTGGAAACACTTCCCAAAGAAATTATTATTGACTAAGATCACCATCTGAGAACTTTCTCAGAAGAAGAATACAGGAGATTTTACTATCAACTGGGCTTTCCCATTATGGTAGATGGAGCACATAGAACTAGCTAGAAATGAGGAGTTGTTGGACCTCTACTATCAGTTTTAATTTCAAACGAAATAGCATACATATTAGTATTATTATATATTACAGCTTATACTTGTGAAAACTACATCTGTGTCTTGAGGATATTAATCTACTTCTAAAGCATGAGAATGGTTTTACTTTCTTCATCATTATGAATTTAAAAAATAACACAGAATTAAATGTTATCACTGCCATTTGGAAAGCATGTTAACTCTTCCTAATAAGCATGCAAATACTTGGATATAATACTTTAGAATGCATTTAAAGTGTTATAAAGTATGCATAATATTTTCAGGCAGCTAGGGAACATAGTGATAGAATGCTGGACTTTGAATCAGGAAGACCTAAGTTTGAATCGTGCCTTAGGCATGAATCTCATGACCTTGGGTAAGTCACTTAACCATTCTTAGCCTGTTTCCTCATTTGCAAAATGAGGGTAATCATAGCACCTAACTCACAGGGTTGTTATGACGATCAATAGACATGACATATGTAAAATGCTTTGCAAAACTTAAAGAGCTATGTAAATATTAGGGATAGGGACTGGAAATGATTTCATTGATATAAGACACTCTGGGATGAGGAAGCTCCTTTTATCAATACAGATGCTACTTATAGTCTTAGAATAGAGTCCTTGACCCCTATTTTTTGACTCTTAATTTTGTGTTGTTTTTTGGGCCATGGAGCCCTTTGGAAATCTGGTGAAGCCTTTGGACCCCTTCTCAGAATGATATTTTTAAAAACATAAAATAAAACATGTAGGATTATAAAAAACAATTGTGTTGTAATATAGGTATTAAAATATTTTTATAAAACAAGTTTATGGACCCCAGATTAATAACCTCTAACATGGTTACCTAGAAAACTGAGAGCTTAAGTGATTAGGTCAGACATGAACCCAGGTCTTGGTGGCTCCAAGGCTGCTTCTCATATAAATGTTAGCTATTATTATTACTATTGTTTTTGGTTATCTAGTTTTGAGTCTTATGTTTTTAAAAGGAATTGTGTGAGATTCTATACAATGATGAAACCAAATAATTGAATTTTGAAACATAAGAAATCTCAAAATATTATAACTGAAAAATATTTGCAAGTATTTCCTAGGATTTAAAAAGATGTAATCACTCAATCAAGCAGTATTTATTAAGTGCCTACTATGTGCTAAATATTATGTAAGTCATGGGGATTAGAAACACAAAAATATAATAGTTATTGCCCTCAAGGAAATAGCATGTATGTATATCAGCAAATATAGAATATATGCAAAGTCAATGTCTGGTCATTTTTTGGGGGGTGTTGGTAAAGGCATCAACTACAGGGAATCAGGAAAAGCCTTACATAGGAGATGGTGTTTGAATTGAGCTTTGAAAGAAATTAGATCTTCTGAGAGACTGAAGGTGAAAAAGGTGTGCATTTCAGGCCTGGGGAATAGCATATAGAAAGGTATGGAGATAGGAGATAAAATATCATGTATGAGGAACAACAGTGAGTAAAATGGACCTTAATAAATCTATTTATCTATCTATCTATCTATCTATCTATCTATCTATCTATCTATCTATCTATCTATCAATCTATCTATCTCATGCTTATTTGGAAGAGTGGTGGCACAGTGGATAGAGCTCCCAGATTAGAGTCAGGAAGACTTATCTTCCCAAGTTCAAATTTGACCTTAGACATTTATTAACTGTGACCCTGGGCAAGTCACTTAACCCTGTTTGCCTCAATTTCCCCCTCTGCAAAATGAGCTAGAGAAGGAAATGGCAAGCCACTCCAATATCTCTGCCAAGAAAACTCCAAATGGAGTCACAAAGAATCAGGCACGGGGCAGCTAGGTGGCACAGTGGATAGAGCACTGGCCCTGGATTCAGGAGGACCTGAGTTCAAATGTGACCTCAGACACATAACATTTACTAGCTGTGTGACCCTGGGCAAGTCAGTTAACCCTACTGCCTAACCCCCCCCCAAAAAAAAAAAGAATCGGGCACAACTGAAACAACTGAACAATAACAATGTGCTTTCAACATGGCTGTGATAATACAAAATAATAGAATTTGAGGTTTGGAAGAAGCCTCAATGACCATCTAGTCCAATTTAGTTGTAATTAAAAAAATTGTATAGCTGCAAAGAAAATGTGACTGTTCACAAATTTCTCAGTATATCTGAAACACTTTACATTTTGTTACAAACATAATTAAATTTTCTTTGTTTGGACTCTGAGTTTTTGCTCATTTCAGGGTCAGTTGGATTTGTTTTTTATGTACTTAGTAAAATTAATTGATTGCTCTCTTATACATGATCTTTTTGTCACTACAGTGTGGAAAGATATTGAAGAAACACTTTAAATTGCTGTCCCTTTCAAATAAATTTCTATCACTGGGAATAAGAAAACCACTTCAGCTAAATCATCTTTTGTTCTAAGGACTAAAATTTGGATGACTTGTACATTCTCCAGTGTCTGTCACTTTAACATGATACACAATAATAGAAGATAATGAATAAGTTGCCAGTAGACCCTTCCCTTAGGATGGATCTTACTATGTTGTTAATTAGCTAAAATATGCAAACATTAAAACTGATAACACTTCAAAGTGCTATAGAGTATTTGCATTGTAGATGCCATAATGTATTTTGTTAAACATTTGTAAAGCTTAATGCTTATACATGTTTCAGTTACTATTATTATTATCATTGTTGTTATTATTGTCTTTTTTCATATTTTTAATGGGATCTAGATAGAAACCATCCTAGTTCAAGCTGCCATCCTGCTATTATTATCATTATCATTAACAATAATAGTTACTTAGAAAAAGAAGCCGCCTCATCTGAAGAGAAAGGAATTGTTATTTGAGGAAACTTGTTGTATCAGTTCTCATTAGATCATGTTCACTATTGTAGAATTCACAAAATTTTGTCAGGAAGGGGCTTTAGAGGTCATCTACTTCACTGATTATCATAATTTAGGACATTGTATTGGATGATCTGCTGTGGTTACTTTAACAGAAAATTCTGTGAGGAAAAAGATTATTCTCTTAATGTTCATGAAAATGTGTGTTATTTTCACTGTATCTATTTTTCATTCATTCACTCCATAAAGCTTTTATTC